CCCCCCACTTATCTAAAGTCTAGTCACAGAGCAGGTTTCCTTTTGGAAAATCCCAAGATAGACCCAAGCTAGTGAATTCTAGATATACCCTGTGGTCTCCTCCTACTTGGGTGTCCCTGGAAAACCTCTAAGTTAAGCCTCAAGGCACCTTGATCAAATACCCAAAACACCTCACCTGCCTTAAGCATTGGGAGTACTCTGGGCTCCTTCTGGATGTCCAAGCTCCTCAGCCAGTCTTTTCGCCAAGCCTAAACTCATTTTTCTTGCTTCTTTCCTAACATTATTTTTTCAGTGACCACCCAGAGCTCATGATTGTAAGTGAGAGTTAAAATGTAAATCAAAAGCTCTGTGGCTGGTGCGCCAGTTTACCTGTTTCTCTCACACCCCACATACTTTTTTTTTTTTTTTTTTCTTGTGAACAAAATCCGAAGATACCCAACCTTTTTAGACTAGGGCGGGGTCTCTCCCCAAACCTTGAGGTAGCAATCTGTCTTACTTTGTGTTTTGCCGTTTCATGAATGTAAGTGATTCATGAAACTGTAAGGATATGTAAAATAGTTGGAAATGTCATACAAAGGGAAACCTAAAGCTAATCTTAAACAGGTAGTAGACATGGTGGATGTTTAGAGGTGGCTGCATATATCAGTCTTGCAGCTGTTGCAACTAGAGATGGCACGATACCACTTTTTTATGTCCGATACCAATATCATAAATTTGGATATCAGCCGATACCAATATGAATCCGATAGTGTTTTTTAATCAATAAAACTGTTTTTTTTTTTTAAAATATTTTGTATAAGTTCATACTCAAGTTAAAAAAAAAACAACAAAAAACAAAACACAAAAATACAGTGCACCCAAAATATTTCATAGTTCAGCAATACTGATCAATCTAATAAACTTAAATCTACTCCATCCTCCCTACTCTGGTATTTTAAAGAGTAAGCACCCTAACTAATAGGGTTCTAAAACTCCCAGCAAAAAAAATTGATAAATAAGGAACCACCCTCCACCACATGATGCTTAATTGACGTAATCAACTTCAATTTGATGCAGTGTGAAAAAAATGCAAAGATGTATTGCCATGTACTACCCAACTGACAGTACTACCAACCATTTATTTAGTCTTCCTTTCTCAGGCTGATGAATGGATTTTCTTTCAGCTTGTTTAGCAGCTTCAACTCAAAATGTGCTTTTAGAAAATTCCAGTATCATTTCAGCTCTAGGTGCTTCCACTGAACGGCTGTATTGAAAATCTAAAAAGCTAACACATTCAGTTGTCCTTTTATAAGATATTATTTGACCGGATATATTAACATAGCCGGTCTGTTTGTTCTCAGAGGTCTCAAATATCAGAGTATCTCTGCATCTTGTCATTCCCTTATTAGTCCATGATCAGAGCTGGCAATAAATATTCACAGGTTTGTGCATTTTGATAGTCATAACATCAACTAAAGCTGATGGCTTCCAAGATTATATCAAAAGTGCAACAGATTTTCCAATATGAAACATGTCAAAACTTTTAGTTAAACAAAGGTGTTACAGGTCAGAAAAAAGAAGAAAGGATAACTTAAAGCTATTCTGAATCCACATTGATGTGTCTTGCTGATTAAAGCAGAGCACAAGGTTGACTTACAGATTTGCATTTTGTATTAGTTCTTATATTAGTAATTGTGCTTTTACTTTGATTTTAGTTAGTGTAGTTTTCATCAGCTTACAGTGGTGTAAAATGTATAATATATTGTAATTTCTTCTGTCTAGAAATAATGTTTATAGTAACAGAATATAATGTCAGTATATAATGACTAGCATTCATAAAATATTTAATAAGTTTCCGTACTGTTTTAGTGGTAATAAATGCCAAGACGATTATTGGTTAATTTCTTTGTGATCTAATTAATATTCAGTTGCGTGTTAATAATATAACTACTAAAAGTATTTTTTTTAATTCAGTTTATTAACATTAGAGTTTTGTTTTAATAATAAGCTGTTTTTATATATGTTGCTCACACCCACAGTTACTTGATGTTGAGCGTAGTAAATAGCAGTTTTGTGGCTACCAACAGGTGGCAGATTTCTCACAGAGTCACATTTGTGGTTTAGTTCTTTTTAAAGAATTCAAGAGATGTTAAAATGGAGGGAAAAAGGTTTGATTCATGCATTGTGTGAGTGAAACCTCAAGTAGACAGACACACAAAGATTTTCTAACTAGGAAGTACTCCACACCTATAGGTTTATACTGTTCAGGCACCTCCATTGATGCCCATATATATTTTGAGTGCATAGCTTTATCGCCCTCCTTCTTAGTTCGCCTCCTCTCCCTACTTTTTCAGTGCCGTCGCTCCTTTGCAGTCTCAAACAGTGAAACACCTTAAACGGTTTTCCTTTCTGAAAAGAAAATGATATCCTTATATCCTAACGTGCAGAGCCTGAGTGTCTGTAGCTGTGGGCTGTGTCAACAGGCCTGTGATTAACAACCTTATAAAGTGGTGAAATGACTGTTTACCTGCTGGCACGTCACACAGCAAATATTTGCACAATTGACAGAATGGATATCAAGTAGCTTTTCAGAAGGGAAAAATCAACTTTCACACTGATCAAGATCTCCTCTTCGTCACTGCGCATTAACTGACAAAAGACACCTGATCAGAAAAGTCAATTTACAGGAATTCAGGAAAGATATACGGCATCACCGTGTCTAAGACATCTTTTGATCAGAATTGCTTTGATTGCAGTGTTTGTGTGCTTTGCTTTTGTCAAAGGCTATTAGCTTTAGTGTGCTTATTGCCATTTCTATATCTTTGCATGCATCCTTGTGTGTCCGACCTGTTCTGTCTTCTTACTAACCTGTGTGGCGTTTCTCATCCAACAGTGACAATACAGAGGACAAGGAGGCTGAGGTCAAAGAGGAATCAAGTGGTAAGCACGTTTTATTGCCTGCAGCATCTTTCTTTCTTTAATGTTTTTAAGTAAACTGTGGCAGTGCTACAGGTTAATGCTTGGAGTTTTTGGGACATCTAATGGAAAAAAAAATTTGTGCTCTTGCTCTTTGCTGTCCGAGACACAGTTGGATTCCAGCTGACTGTGTTAGTCTGTCTGTGTTGTTGCCGGGGATTTAACCACCCCCACATTCAGCCACACTAATACTCATGCATGCACTCCATCAGTCGCTCTGCCTTCTGTATGTCTCAGACTACAATTGCCTCCACTTAAAGGGGGCTCCTTATTGTGTTTGCTGTGCTATGGAAACCTGGGTTTGAGCAGATCAGGACATAGTGTTCTAAAGAAGGAGCGCTAGAAAACTGAAAAGGTGTGGCTGACGGCTGAGTGAATCTTTTTTCTCTGTGCTGCAGGGACACTCTGTGTGGACAGGACTCAAGTGCAAACTCCCAGGACTGTGCTTGTCATAGCAAACTCAGATGTCAGAGATCCTGGGAGTGGCCCTAAGCACGTCACCCTAGACCCCCAGCTCAGGAGCATGCTACAGTGGCTGGCAGCCTCCATGGCCGACATCCCTCAGATCCAGCTAAGTCCTGACAGAGAACTGCAGCAGGTGATTGTGGCTATATTCCTCACAAACAGGTTCCCTCTGTGGTCTTCATTAGTCAGCACTAAAACTCTTTTTAAACCACGTCATGTCGCTTCAGTGAAAGAAGTCATTCTTTCCGTGATTGTCTGTTTTGAAGGTCAACAATCCTGTAAAGTTCTGTGCTGGTTCCCACCATACTGTGCTTTGCTATGGAGACAAACTGCTGAGAAGCACCAGCTACTGTGACGATTGAGCTGTAGATTTTTTTTTGGAAAAATCACCAATAATTTCACCAGTTTGTTCCTGTTTTCTGCATTTCAGTAAAGGTCATAGTCATCACTGTTAACTGACAAAACTTAATGGTATATATTGTTATACAATTTATAAAGCCTGCACAGCCAGTAAAATTGTGGGGTGATACAGATCCTGATGTTTAAATATGGCCATTTGCAATGTTCATATACTAATTTTACTCTTTTTGCTTTTTTTGTTTTTCTTATTTAAAAACCCTGTGTTTGAACAAAAGCACAATCTCAATCATTTAACACTGTAATATTATAATAATACAGCAAAACATCTGCTACTGGGCTGAGATTCTCTTTGCTTTATTTGATGGATTTTGGTCAAATAACGCCAGTGTATGGATATGTGACCTACACATATTAAAATGAGCCCCTTTTCTATTAGTACCTACTCTGATTGACTTGCCACAGTTTTCAGGTTTCCATTAGGTCATAGTACCTGGTACTAAGTAATAAAATAGTACCTTCTCGGCCGGGGTTCCAAGCAACACATACTAAAATGTGACATCGTCAGACTGCATGCCACCGATTGGCCTGGTCATTGGCATCACTCGATGGGTCATGAGAACATAAATCGCTACAAAGAAACAAGTCTGACAAAAAGCCACAGATCGAGCAGCAGATTGATCGTACTCTATTTTAATGGAAAACCAGTCGATCTGAGTCGAGTCGTGGTGAGCCGTGGAGAGTCAATCCGAGTAGATACTAATGGAAAAGGGGCTTAAGTGTGTTTCAACTTGGGAACAGTACAAGCATTCAAGAGTTTCGTGTTTCAGGAGTGTGTTACAATGTCTTTTTAGGCATTACATTTACTTTAGTAAACATGATTACATTACATCATGTTTAATTTCAAACCCTTACAATTCTAATTTAACTGTCTATTATTATTATTGTTTTATTTTATTTTTTTGAAGCACGGCTCTCTGCTTAGGTTATATTCAGAGAATTTTTGAGTTCCTTTTTTCCCCAGGCAGGAAGAAGTATTAACTAACACCCTTTCACTACTACTTCAGTAGTCAGCTTGTAAGGAAATCCTAAAGATTCTGAAAGTACAGGGTGGGCCATTTATATGGGTACACCGTAATAACATGGGAATGGTTGGTGATATTAAAGTCCTGTTTGTGGCACATTAGTATATGTGAGGGGGCAAACTCCTCAAGATGGGTGGTGACCATGGTGGCCATTTAGAAGTCGGCCATCTTGGATACAACTTTTGTTTTTTCAATAGGAAGAGGGCCATGTGACACATCAAACTTATTGGTAATGTCACAAGAAAAACAATGGTGTGCTTGGTTTCAACGTAACTTTATTCTTTCATGAGTTATTTACAAGTTTCTGACCACTTATAAAATGTGTTCAATGTGCTGCCCATTGTGTTGGATTGTCAATGCAACCCTCTTCTCCCACTCTTCACACACTGATAGCAACACCGCAGGAGAAATGCCAGCACAGGCATCCAGTATCCGTAGTTTCAGGTGCTGCACATCTCGTATCTTCACACCATAGACAATTGCCTTCAGATGACCCCAAAGATAAAAGTCTAAGGGGGTCAGATCGGGAGACCTTGGGGGCCATTCAACTGGCCCACGACGACCAATCCACTTTCCAGGAAACTGTTCATCTAGGAATGCTCGGACCTGGCACCCATAATGTGGTGGTGCACCATCCTGCTGGAAAAACTCAGGGAACGTGCCAGCTTCAGTGCATAAAGAGGGAAACACATCATCATGTAGCAATTTCAAATATCCAGTGGCCTTGAGGTTTCCATTGATGAAGAATGGACCCACTATCGTTGTACCCCATATACCACACCAAACCATCACTTTTGTTGTTCCAACAGTCTTGGAGGGATCCATCCAATGTGGGTTAGTGTCAGACCAATAGCGGTGGTTTTGTTTGTTAACTTCACCATTCACATAAAAGTTTGCCTCATCACTGAACAAAATCTTCTGCGTGAACTGAGGGTCCTGTTCCAATTTTTGTTTTGCCCATTCTGCAAATTCTGTGCGCCGATCTGGGTCATCCTCGTTGAGATGCTGCAGTAGCTGGAGTTTGTAAGGGTGCCATTTGTGAGTAGCTAATATCCGCCGAAGGGATGTTCGACTAATGCCACTCTCCAGTGACATGCGGCGAGTGCTACGCTGTGGGCTCTTGCTGAATGAAGCTAGGACAGCCACTGATGTTTCTTCATTAGTGACAGTTTTCTTGCGTCCACATTTTGGCAAATCCAACACTGAACCAGTTTCACGAAACTTAGCAAGCAGTTTGCTAACTGTAGCATGGGAGATGGGTGGTCTCGTAGGGTGTCTTGCATTGAAATCTGCTGCAATGACCCGGTTACTGCGTTCACCAGATATCAACACAATTTCGATCCGCTCCTCACGTGTTAACCTCTTCGACATGTCAATGGCTGTGAACAAAGAGAAACTTGTAAATAACTCATGAAAGAATAAAGTTACGTTGAAACCAAGCACACCATTGTTTTTCTTGTGACATTACCAATAAGTTTGATGTGTCACATGGCCCTCTTCCTATTGAAAAAACAAAAGTTGTATCCAAGATGGCCGACTTCTAAATGGCCACCATGGTCACCACCCATCTTGAGGAGTTTGCCCCCTCACATATACTAATGTGCCATAAACAGGACTTTAATATCACCAACCATTCCCATTTTAATACGGTGCATCCATATAAATGGCCCACCCTGTAGAATGGAAGGCAGAGCCTTCAGTTGTCAGGCCTCCCATGAAACCAGGTCCCAGTTTAGATTTAGGACAGAGTCCCTTTCTACAAACCCATCTTACTGTGGTTCAGGTGACCCTGAACATCCCCCTTAGTTGTGCTGCAGTAGGCTTGGGCTGCTTGGGGACTTCCCATGCTGCGCTCAGCAATTCTCCTTCAATCCCCACATTTCACACTCTGTTTTTATGCCACTATTGCATCTCATTAACTTTTATTTCCTCTCTCCTGTAAGTTATGTTTTGTTCAGTTTGTTGCTCGCTATCTCTCCTTTTTCCTGTCACTCCACAAAAAGAGGGAGTTCTTCCTCCCTCACATTGCCAAGCATTTGCTCTTTCTAATATTATGAAGTCTTTTCAATACAAGATAAATGCCTTGAGATTACTGTATAATCAATGTGTCCTTTCAGCTCCCAGCGGTAGTCCAGAGGCTTCGAGAGAGGAAGTGGAAGGTGGGTGAGCTGCTGCACATGCTGCTGCGCTACTGTGATGTGAGCCACAGTCAGCCCGAGGCCAGAGAAGAGGCACTTGAGGCCAGCAAAGAACCTCACTGCATCTCCCTCTTCCAGTGGCTTCTGGAGCGCACCTAAGGCCTCTGCTTTTTTCCCTCCTTGCTCTCCTCTCATTATTTCCAAACAGGGCTTTGCAACCTCTATGAGCCCCATAAATCTGAACTCCCTCTCACAAATGTGGGAAGCACGTGTGTTGCATTGCGTGTATGGCATGCCATCTTTTCCCGTGTTGTGTGTTTTTTTTTTTTTGTTTTTTGTTTTTTTTTCCTCCCCAGTTTCTGTTTTGTTGCTGCAGTTTCATCAGTTATCAGGCCTGTATGTGTAACCTGTGTTGATTTAATGAGGTGTCTCCTTTGCTCGCCTACACTCTTGAATCGAAGGCCTCACACCTTGCTGTGCTTAAGCTACAAGAAGTGGGGGAAGACCCACCCAGTGTGTTTCCAGAGGGAGATGCAGTGTGTTGGGAGAAAAGACAGACTGGGAATCCCCACAGCTGCTGGGTGGATGATGTCATCACACCCACACCTCACCTCTCTGGTGGTATTTCCACATGTTGAGAGACCAACTGTACACGCGCACATATGCACACACAAACACATTTTGATTATTCGAACCAATTCAAGAGAAAAATTTGCATTTCCTGCAAAAATGCTGTGTGGATGCTGTAACGCTGAAGCTGTCTGCTGAAAAAGATGAAAAGTTGCAAAAATTGTATGGTGGTGAAGAAACCGAAAATTCTGCTGAAAACGGGTGAAGAAGTAGAAATCTTTGCTGGAAAGAGGTGAAATGTTGCAATGAGCAGGATTCAAACCTGGCCCTCCTGGCCTCAAGGCGGCTACTCATCTCACTGACCCAAACTCGTTCTCACAAAAAAAGAGATGGAGAAACTGACAATTCTGCTAAAATGAGCAGAAGATGCTGAGATTTGTGCTGATAAGAGGTGAAAAGGCTGAAAATTCTGCTGAAAAGAGGTGAATGAGCAGAATTTCTGCTGAAAATAGTTTTTTTCTGAAAACAGCTGAAAAAGCTGGGATTTGTGCTGAAAAGGGGTGAAGAAGATAAAATTTGTGTCGAAAAGAGTTAAAAATGTTTAACTGTTAACTGAAAGAATTGTCGCCATTAGCGAGATTTGAACCCGGGCCTCCCAGTCTGAGGACTGGGTGGATGGGATGCTTTACAGCATCCACACAAATACATGAACACAATTCCGTTACTGTCTTGATCCACTAGAGTTGTGCTGCAGTAAGTACATTTAGCTTTTCTCTAAATGATTCACTACGCTACCATACAGAGAGGTTGATAAAACTCTGTTAAGCCCACCTCTGTAGTTTAATGAACTGTGCCGTCATTTTTGCGATGATGATCATGAGCAAATTTATTTGGCCACAGAATAAATAAGAGTTTTACCTAATACTGTAACCCTGCTTCTTCTAGTAGCAATCTACTTGGTTGTCATACTTAGTAAAATATTAAAGAGGAGAATGAGTCATAGTGAGGATTTATTAAAAAAGAAAAGAAAAAATAATCTTTGTATGTATGTACAAGGATTATTTTTCTATTTCTTTTTATAGATGTAAATATAACTATGCCTTATTTTTTTGAAGGTAGAGTATCTAATCCAACATGAAATGCTGCTTTTACTTGTGGAGGAAATGGTCACTTTGGCTTACCGCTACTAAGCTGGGTGACTGATCACCCTCTGCAGTTCAGTAGTTAATTGTGTATGGCGGTCAGCTGTGTCAGTGGCCCTCGTCCAGTCTTGGGGAAGATCCAGTGACGCAGATAGCAGATCGTTGAGTAATTAAAGACACCGGCTCTGTCTGCACGTCGTAAAACCGCAGGCTAGCAACATCTGCGTAGCTCAGGCTTGGACTCACACATTCTGTCACCCACACTCCACAGTCACCTCGAGGAGTCGACGAGTATGAATACCACAACTTCCGTACAGTAACCTGCCCCCCTACCCCCACCTCATCAGTGCAACACACACACACACACACACACACACACATTACTCACCAGCCCCCACATGCACAGCACTACCAGCTACTTGCTGAGAAGCACTTTTTTTTTTTTCTTCCCCCCTCTCTTTTTTGGACTTAGCCTGAGGAGAGACTGGGCGTTTCCTATCCCTCTTCTGTGGACCTAAAATCAATCTACAAATTAATGGGATACATTTGGATGTTTGTATTTATTTATTGTTGTTGTTTGGTTTATTTTGGGGTTTTGTTTTTTTTTTTGTTATGTTCTGTTTTTCCCCTAATGAGGGACTGAAGGATGACATGATGCTGCAAGGTCGTCAAATTTAAGTTTGAAACACTGTAATATACCACAGTCTCACATGTATTATTATAAAACTACGTGTTGTCGGTGGTGTTCGCCTGCATGGCTCAATCGAACTTTTAAAGCTTAACATTGTTACTCTCCTCCTTGTGCTGGCCTACAGTAATGGTGCAGCAGTGATTCATGTGTGTCCACACTGCCTCACAGTATGCTAGAGGCCTCTGCAGATGCCTTCTTTGTTCCTGCTTAAATCTCTAGGCTGCCATATGGTCATATAATCTTAAAGGTGTTTGTTCTGTATGAATTGTTTACACATTACAATATTAATAGAAAAAAAACAACAACAATCTTTATTATAATATTATTATTAATATATACTAGTAGTATATATATATTATATGATTATATATAAATATAACTATATTTATATTAGTATATTATTATAATATATATGGGAGCAGACATCACACCATTTGAGTATTTAACCTGATGAGGTGAGGGACCAGTGTATATAATATTCTGGGTTTACATTAAAGGAATGTATTAAAAGTCACAGACACTTGAGTGCTTCACTGTATAGATTCTCTCCTGATGTGACTGCCTAGTTTGTAGGACTTTCCCAGGTTTTTCCCAGCACCCTGCCCCTCTTCTTTTATTTTCATTCTTGATCTACTTTACATTCCTGCTCACCCCACATGACCTACAGTAGCGCTAATGTTGTCGTGTTTGTGAAAGCTGAATCTGAACCCGCTGAGACTGCTGTTTAGAAGCAGATGCTGTAAAATCTGTTTTTGTTACACTCGTTCCCATTGTTGTTTTCTGCCTCTCTCTTTAACTCTTATTTTGGGACGTTTGTACAAGGAAAAAAACAACAACAAAAAAGATTCGAGAGTTGTACCTTACTTCTTCTCACTTGTGTATTTTCCTGCTTCCTTGTAAGATCCTGCCAAACAAAGATATTTAATAAATTATAATAAGTCATATAACAGTGAGTTCACCACTTGTTCTCCCAGTGGCATTGCTAAATAGTTTGCACATTCTAAGCTTGAAATCAGAAACTATACATTTATTTGTCAAAGCTTGGTGTGACAATAAAGCTTTTTCATGTGCTCTAGTTTTGTTTTTGTTTTGATTAATGTCTTAATGGTGAGAACACATCCGTGTATCAGCACGCAGAGTATCGTTTCACATTGCTGAAGTGTTGTATTACAGGTATTACAGGTAAAGTCTGCCAGTTTTCCGAAAAGGAAATGAACATATTTTTTTGGCAGAAACATGCAGCCATTATGCTCTTTACTCGTGTTGTAAAAAAATTTTTTTGTCTTAAATAATGTCACGATCTATTGTTCTACATCTAGAATTAGCATGAGAACTTTAATTTCAATGTTATTTTATCTGAAAGGGGGGTCCCTGCAATTTCCACCCTCTATTTGTTAACTTCAACAGCTTGTGGCACCAAAAAAAAGGAAACCCACTTTAATAGAAGTAATTCCTCAAGAACCACACTGCAAACAATCTTTGACCAGATATCCTTCCTGTATATCTGAGCTTGGGACCAGCACTAGCAGTTTGCTAGCCGGAGTCCGCTCGTGTCTCTTCCAGGTGTTGAACTGGGGATCGTTTAAACCTAGGCTGAATACATTAACCACTGCGCCACAGAACCTTTTTTGTTTTTCCAAGCTGCAACTAATCATTTAAAATCAAAAAACAATCTCACTGTCAGCAAAGCACCTTACCAATTTGTTTCAAGCACTTGGATGCTGATTAAGGGTGAGTTTCTCACTGATGACAACCTTTACTGCTGTTAAACTGCAGCTTCCTTCAGACCTAATATAAAGGTGTCACTTTACTAGGCGAGGCAGCTCTCCTCATCATTATCTGTGCTGCATGTCTCAAAGAAAACAGAAGGGCTGTGTATCTATTGAATGATGGCTTCAATAACAGTTCATGGTTATGCCTGGATACGGCAGCACAAAACAACCATTGTTGCTGTGTGATTAGATCGTACCACACACACATGGATAATTGGGTAATGTTTGGTACAATGGCCAGAGCCTGTCAGGATACAGCTCTCTTAGCAGCAGATGAATGGAGATGTCTGTCTGACACAGAGGAAGAAAAAAGACGAAAGAGAGAGGGAGGAGGGAAGGTGGGAATACCTAATTGCAGGCTTTATCGTGATAGATAGGGAGAGGAATGCGTCTGACAAGCACATCTTTGATCTCTTGAGTGTTGGCAAGCCTACTGACAGACAACAAGAGGCTCTTAGACCAACCATAGAAACATATGGGCTGCTCAGCTTGTGGGTGACCTGACTGAGTGATGTCATTTCCAGGAGGTTTCTTGAAATTAGGGAATAACTGTATGGGGGTAAAAAAAAAGAGAGATGGCATACTGAGAAAGACAGCATCCTTCCTATATTAGAAGTGACATGCCTTTCTATCACTCCTAATATTTCAGATCATCAAACAAATTTCAATATTAGACAAAAATAAGGTGATTAAACACAAAATGCAGCTGTCAAATTATGATTGTATTTATTAGGGCAAAAAAAGCAATCCAAACCTACCTAGTCCTATGTGAAAAACTCATTGCCCCATAAACCTAATGGGTGGTTGTGCCACCCTTTGCATCAATAACTGCAATCTGAAAAAGAACTCTTTCATATCCTTTTGGAGGAATTTTGGCTTATTGGAACATGAAATTTCAAAGGATCTCAATCTGACTTAAGTCTTAAGTTTTTGTTATGCAGGTCTCACTACTATCTTGTGAACCTTCCCTTTCGCTCTTGTTGCTATCCCTCTGTCACATATCAGCCCTAACACTTGTCTCCACCTACTCCACCCTGCCTGCGTTCTCTTCTTCACCTCTCGTGTGCACTGCCCGTTGTTCCCTGTAATTTAAACTCATCTACCTTAAGGCCCTCTGCTCTTTACAACTTCACTTTCCTACCTGCCTCCCTCTCATTCATTCACATGTATTTTTTTTCATTCCTCTGCTCTCCTCCACCTCCTCCCTACTCTCACTACAGATCACAATACCATCTGCAAACATCATAGTCCACGAAGACTCCTGCCTGAACTCATCAGCCAGCCTGTCCATCACCATCACAAGCAAGAAGGAGCTCAGAGGCGATCCCTGATGTGATCCCACCCCATCTTGTACATAAACGGCTTCATCAACATACTTCATCAACACGTTTTAGCAATTTAAGTATCTGTTCATTCGTTACATTTAAATTTACCTGACAGGTGTTTGTCATGATTTGTTTTGCTAATCATTACGCATTAGCATTAGTTTCAGCCATTTATCTATGCCTGCATGTTTTTAATGCAGTCTGTGTCTGGGATGCCTGATTTTACTTCATGAATAAGTCAAGATGAATTAATCCATAGATTTTTTTTAAATTAATTCAACAGTACAAAAACCCATGTAGACTAACACCACCACTTCACAGTATGCCTGTTAATATTATCCTACTTATAACATTTTAAACCCTTTCTTTCTCTTCTTGACAGTGGAAGCTATAGAAATGTTATCGGTTTATGTACTGGATATGTGAGAAAGCAACACCATGGTTAGGTGACACACATTATTCTTACGTACAATGCGTCAGTTTAAGGTGACCACATGCAGCTGGGATGAAACTTGGTTACGGATAAGACTCATGCTAAAACATGACCACAAAAACCTCAATCATAGATTCCAACAGAGATGAGGCCGCAGGAATGTCATTCTGACACAAAAGCAGAAAATCAGATGCTTTTATTAACAGTTCTGAGAAGTGCACACACACACACACACACACACAATGTTGTCAGCGTAGCAATATGTATAGCAGTTACTGTGTAGAATATAATCACTCAGCAATATAGGGAGACAGACAGGAGCCCAGTACCATAATACCCTCTGTCTGTTCCACAGTAGTGTGGGCTGATGTCTGACACACACACAGTCTCTGACATCATATAGGCAGGGTTCTGGCTGGGTGCATCCTCTCGGGTTCCCCCCACTGTGTCGACTTGTAATTCACTGACATCACTTCCCTCTCAACAGCAACAAACGGCTGGGTTGTTGGGAGAGTCCACTGGATGAGGGGAGAGGAGGGGGTACGTTTGACTCAGACCCATGGAATCCATGATATACTGTACTAGGCTTTGTGCTGGAAAGGGGAAAACCAGCTACATCATCTAGTCTTTTGTTTACTTCAGTCTTTTTTCTTATTGATGCATCTGCTCTTTCTTTCATCACCATGGACTGATAGGTGTGCTTGCCTAATGGGCCAAGAAGCTGAATCACTGAGGTGGGTCTAAGGTCACGCTGGAGAGCAATGAGGCATTTCAACAGATTCTGACATGATAATTCAGAAATTAATTTTCTCCTGGATCGTGAGATCAATTGTTTTTAGGCGGAGGTTGCAGTCTTGCTATCCAAAAAGCTCAGAATCCAAGTGTAATACTGAAAATGTTTATGGATTGGAAGATGTAATCATTTGGATCTTATTGCAGCTTTTCTACTGGATGTCTGAAAGAGGGCCATTCAAACTATTTACATTGCACACCACTTGCTTGCACCTGTCTACATACAGCCACCACCTGTATTGGAATTAATATATTTTCTCATACTTTAACACCTTCTTTATGGTGGGCAATGAGCTTCTTCTCATTGTTTGTTACTGTTTGAACTGATTTTGAAGAAGATGTAAAGTATTAGTTTTTCACAATTATTTTGACTCACATAGCAAATACTTCACTTATTTCAGTGTTTTCCATCTACAACCTGTGATTCAGTAGCTTGTTGAACCACCTGTAGCAGCAGTAACTTGAAGTAATCACTTTCTGCATGACTCTCATATCACTGTGGAGGAATTTTGGCACACTCTACTTTCTTTCTTGTCCTTTCTTCAGTTTATAGAGGTTTGTGTATGTGCAGCTCTCTAAAGGTCCAGCCACAGCATTTCAGTAAGGTAGGTATCTGGATTTTGACTGATCCATAATGTCACCTGCATTGTTTTCTTTCAGACATTCTGTTGTAGATTCGCTGCTGTGCTTGGGATCATTGTCCTGGTGCATGACCTAATATTGGTGAAGCTTTAGCTGCTTCAGCTCTGTTATACAGATGTGTTCATGGTCAACTCAGTGCCTGCTAGGTGCCCAGTCGCTGCAAAAACAGGCCTAAATCTGGATCTCTCCACCACCGTGCTTCACAGTTCTTGTGCTGATATGTTGTATTTAGTTTCCTCCAGACATGATAATGTGTATTATGGCCAAACATCTCCATTCTGACCTGCAAACTGGCAAACCATCTGATTTTGATAAGCTAATTGAGTGCATTTGATTACTGTGTAGTGATAACACGTTAGACTTACATGAAAAATCCAGAAACAGTCATTCTGAGACACAACCTAAACCTTGCCTCAGGGGGAACAAGCCACCCTACAGTCCCATAATGACTTTCCTATAATGGGAAAGTTGTGTTAGAGAGAGCATAATAACCACAGGGATCTATCTGCTCTGGTGACCCCTTCGGAAACCTCTTTAAGAGGGTAATATCATTTTCTAATTTTATGAAATACCTACATCTTCACAGGGTGACCTAAAAGGATCCTGTGCAAGAAAGCAACATGGCACAGCAGTGGTTACTCTATAAATTATTCATGACTTTATGCAGAGACGGTATCCTGCTGGTGTATCACAGTCTTTACTTTTCAGCACAGTCACAGTTTTATATTAAATCACACTAAGGTCGAATTTTGCTCACAATTTTGCAGTTAAAGTACTGCAAAGCTCCAACACCTCCCCATGCACACACACCACTCCCAGCCCCCACCGTCTGACTCCCATTGATAAATGAAACTTGGCAGCCTTGTAAACATATTGGATATCCTGTAAAACATATTGGATATCCTGCTGTGATGTTTTTGCTGATGTCATGGTAACACAAATTGCGGCAGACCTCTTTAATCCTTTTGACTTCATGACTAAGGTCACAACTAATGAAAGATCCCATGGAGTCACTGCCAGGGAGTTGGAAATGTTCATTTTTCAAAACGTGAGCACAACACTACCCATGACATTTCCCTGCTATTGTCTGCTTATTTCCAGGAGTGACCACACAGTGATGCTGTAACTATGAGTGTGTGTGTGCATAAGCTGGACAATAACTCCGGCACACCAACTCCCAGGGCACCTCAGACCCTGGCAGAATGAAAACAATCAGCGTGGGAGCGAAGGGATGGAGACAATTATGAAAGCGAGAGGGGGGGAACAGCGAGAGATAAGAGTTTATGTCAGAAGGAACAGCTGAATCATGTTGGAATTGAGTGTTTATCTGAAAATGAGCAGACAGAGCAGACCTTGGGTGGAGGGGAAATATCATAGTCAAGAGGGGCCGCCGGTGTTTCCCAAACCGATAGCTCTGTTTTGACTCGTTGAAGATTGAAAACAGCCGCTGGAGCTCTGTGTGGACCTGGTAACATGGTAAATAAAATTTGATATTATCTGTGAAGACGAGTAGTAAGTCTGTCTGACTCATAAAAACAACAAACACCTCACAACTGCACATGCACACTGCACATCGTTGTTCCCACTTTGGAGGAAAGGAAAACAGCAGGAGCAGGTTTTCAGTGTTAATCTAAGAGGTGTTGCTTCATCTGCTGTTGTGTCTCTCCTCATTTTCTGTCAGTTCACACCCACTGCTGTATTGACTCAGTAGTGAGCACAAGTTCAGCTTTGAAAGACAACACACGAATGAGGAAACATCTTGACAAATCATATCTTCCTTCCTGATGGCCTCGGGGAGTTCCGAATACACACCTTACCCTGGAGATAACAGTTTGCTGTGGCTTATTTGGGCAAAGCTGAGCCACTCTGATGACCACAGAGAGGAAGTGAAGGTCAAGTCTGGGAGAGCCTTGCAAAATGGCCAAATGAATAAAAGTTGTCTCATGCTGATGTCACGGCTGGTGCACATCGGTGCTTTTCCTCTTCCCCCATTGTCTTCCTCCACCCCTTCTGAGCTTAACTCGACTGCAGCCAGACTGGCAGTTGATCTTTTATTGTGTTGGATTGAATGCTTTGCAAGAGAGATGTGGTTTGGAGATCAAGAAAGTTCTAGCGAACATCCAAAATGTCAGTTTTGCTGTTTATGCTTCATTTTCAACAATTTATTCAAATATCTCAAAATGTTTTATATCAATAAATTTGTGATTGCATTTAGTTATGGAGGGAGGTCTATGCTAAATATCAAATGCAACAATTCAACTATTATCACTTACTAGCTGCCAAAATTATTGTCAGTTACATGAAAGTTTGCAAAAACAGGAAATCTCATTATGATAATTCAATGAACTGCGAGAAATCAATGGAAATCACAAAGAAATTTATGTTAAACAACTTCTATTCACACAACAGCATAGATCTGAAACACAAATTTATAAATTCCTCCATAGACAGTGAAGTAATTGCTGCAAGATTATTCAAATGTGCAAAATGACAGGCACTTATTTAGCAATATAGCACTGAGACTCAGACTGATCGCAGCATGTTGGCAATCTGGCTCTGTTTATAAATTAGACCGCAAACTCTTGTCAATCTGTCTGAGAGTGATTGCAGTCAGTGTGAGTCCTACCATGATTGTTTTAATACCTTCCCACTGAAACTAAAAGTGGTTGCTGCAACTACTGGCAATAGACTGGAGAAGGATGGAAGAAATATAGGGCAAAAGAAGAGCCTGTTCTTAATTTTCAAATTTCAGGGCGGAGCAGCAAATTCCCTTTTATCATTACAGATCTAGACAAAGCTTACAATGAGTCATATCATTAATCAGACTGTAGATCTGTAATGATATCTTGTTGAAGTTACTAATTTATAAGATACTCACATACCAAATGGTGATGATGATTTAAAGGCTGTGTGAGAATACTGGACAGTATAAACATATGCTAGCTATGGAATTATAACATTTCCAGTATTATGGAAAAGTTTACATTAATGGACTCATTTGGCTTAGTACAGGATGGGCTCACTGTCAGTTTAGGTCAAAGATAATGATCATCAGTTTAGATTCTTTAGCATCGCTTGCCAAATTCCTAAATGACTGGGCTTGGTTGGAAAGCGGCCATGGCAGTAAGTCATGTAACATCACCTAATATGTTTTAGAATTAAGCTGGCCAAATACTCAAAGAGAAAGCCTTGTAGTCCCTGTCCAATATGAAACAAATCTACCAAATCAACAAACCAGTCTTGGGAGATATTTAGAACTGAGTCATTTTTCCATGCTACACAGCTTCACTAGATCCCATTGTTCCCGCACTCCCACTCTTTATCGGCTTATACTAACCACCTGACTACATTATAATAATAAGCATAATAGTTAATGCTTATCATGGCAGGTTAGACAGTTCTCTAGCTAGCATTACCGTTAAGTATACCAACATGACTAGACATTTAAATAAAGAAACCACCTTACCTTAAGGCTAACATTAATAAAATACTGGCTAATGTTATACAGGAATATTACATTGCATTAACTGTGAAGATCAAATTTAAGCTTATGAGCTTAGAGCTCATTACCTGATGTTAAATAGTGGAATCGTATTTTATTTTTTTCAAAGTTTTATACTCACCAGCTATGTTGTTAGCTACCTCAGTTCACATGACAGCAACTCAATGCATTTAGGCATGAAGACATGGTCAAGATGGCCTGTGGAAGATCAACTCGAGCATCAGAATGTGGAAGAAAGGTGTTGTGCCCATACAAGACAAGCTGGTCTGAGCATTTCAGAAACTTGTAGTAAAAAGTGCTCAGTTAGAGTAAAAAAGTACTGCTTAAACTGACCTACAGCTAAAGAAATATCAGAGTCCGAGGCTGGCAGTAGTGGTGCAATAGTGTGGTTAATATTTTTTTGGCAGACTTAGTACCAGTTGGGTAATGTTTAAACGCCACAACCACCTTAGCAGTTTCTGCCCATATCCACCTCTTTATAACCACAGTGTACCCACCTTCTAATGGCTGCTTCCAGCTGCATAACATCAATAATGCCACTCAAATCATCTCAAACTGGTTTCTTGAAGACAGCAATGAGTTCACCATGCTCAGATGGCCTCCACAGTCACCATAATCGCAATCCAACAGAGCTCCTTTGGGGTGTGGTGGAATAGGAGATACATATCACGGATGTGTAGGTATTTTATTAATCTTAACTTACTACTGCACCCATTTATCTACCATATTTATTTAATTATTCTGATCAATTGTTGCATTTTGCTAACTAGAAAGGGGTTCTGTCTTTTATTGAAATTCAATGTGACCATACCTGATAAATACAGGCTAATCTTTATGTCGATCACAAATCATGACCAGTGCCATTTCTTTTCGTATTTTCACTGGAAAATACTCCACTGGTATCTCTGTTTAGAAAAGAAAACTGTTGACATTTAAGACTGAGAGCTGGGATGAAAGATGGAGGCAGGGCAGGAAAGTGGAAGCAGCTCAGGATGAAAGCATTTAGGAGTGCTAGTGTCTGTATCATAGATAATTACTGGTCTTTGAAAATCATATTGGCATTGGCTTTCCTCTCCTGACAAAGCATGAAGGCTCCATCTGGGTTTTTCTGTCCTTATGAATTTTTGTTGATTCTATGGGAGGTTTGTTTCAGAGACCGGTTTGTTTTCTCTTGTTACACATTTGCAGTGGCAAAAACGTAGCGTATTACACTCTGCTCATCACTTTTCCTAAAAGTAATGTAGTATGTTATTTAATTACTTCCAGGAGAAATTAATTTTTGACATTGCTTGATACATTACTTTTTTAGTCCATAACATGATCTGAATTGCACTGTCACAACTGTCTGCTGTTGGTACCCTCTGGAACATATTTATAATAGCTATAAATACGCCTACCTTTAAGTGGCAATGCTTCATTCATGAAACACTTTAAAATAAATAACACTTTGCTGTGCATTGATCTGTGCTGCAGATTCTGCTGGTGTCGCTTGTCATTTTAGTGTTTCCCTCCACACAGTGCAGAAGTGCCTGCTCTTATAGTCTGCTAAGTCTTTACCCCGACTCTCCCACACTCCCCAGCCCACTCACATCAACTGAAACAGGATCTGCCTAATGGTCTGGAATATCCCTGTTTGGGCTGATCATCACTCCAATTTTCTTTTCAAATATGTAGTTTTGATAAAACCACAGCCTGGTGTGATGTGAGGGCTGGGGGTGCTATGGAGGCGGCAGCCCAAGAAGTTCTTGAGCTACGAGCAAAGCAATCAGAAAGGCAATGTGTGTGTGTTTGACTGTGTCCATGTGTGTGTGTTTTATTGCAGACTTGGAGTGACCTTCTTACCACAGAGGATGTGGGAGTGAGGGGAAAGAGACAGTTCTTTGCTCTTCGTGTGTCTTAAAGAGCAGTCTCTCGATCAGATAAAAGAGCCCAAAAAATAAACAGTGGAAAAATCCAGCCTTGTTATATCCTTGGTGTTCAGGGTCTCTCTAAAGTCTGAATGACCTCGAGAAGATAAGTTGTTGTCAATCAAATCCTACTACAACAGCTGTGCTCAGGATGCGTGCCATCAGATATTTATGCCAGGCAGCAGTGCAACCATTTCCTCATATCTGGCTTCTCTAATTTATGCATTTCTACCCTTCTGGTTTGAAAAACAGGCTGAATCCAGTGGAATCTTTCTGGTTGCTTTGAAGTTGAAATAGCAATGGGCAGAACCATATTGACCAGACCCTGCTCACTGTGACTCCACAGTCCTGCACTTTCTGAACCCTGCACTTTAACCCATGACCCTTCCCTCCAATCGGATAAGTTGCCGACGTCACAGTTTCACAAAAAATTGTGAGGTTGCAGAGTTCAGTATCATAGTGAGTATACAGACACGTTTTACTAGTAATGCACTTAAAACCAGAGATAATGAGTTGCTCATAACAATGTAAGAGTTGGCTGGTGGCAAAGGTAAACACCCCGTCTCAAGTTTTATCTTTGCATGCAGTTATATTGGCACTTTTGCGTTTCTCTTTCTCTTCCTCTCTTTGTCTCTCATTCATGTTTCATCTCATTTTTCTTCTTCTTTGTAGCAGCTACGGGGCTTTTGGCCGTCTTTCAGCATCTGAAAGAGCATCCAAATCCACTCTGTGGCTGTAGGCTTACATAGCAAAACACAGGGGTATGGATATCACTCAAACACACATTCATGCATGTGCACGCGCACTTGAGAACCAGACCGACATCAATAAAAGTGTGGGCTTACAGTCCAAACAAACACACGTTAACCTGAACACTGCTGTTTCTCTACTGCAGCGGCGAGCTCGTGACTCCTGGAGGAAATTGCTGAGGGCACAGGAAACCCACAGCTAAACACAGGTTCTCACGGTGTATTAATGAGCCCCTGACTGAGAGATGAGCACTTTATACCACAGAGCCGATACCAAGAGCAGTCGACGGCCAGCCAAGTGTGGGAGGTTGCTGGAGCCCTGACACGGGGTTCGAAAGGTCTCGTAGGTGAAGTCTGCGTCGCTGCTGGTTTTGCTCTGACGCAGCATCAGGAGAAACTCCAGTCCTTGTGCTACATTTCAGAAGCAAAACATCAACAGAGGCAGTTCTATACAAGCATCGTAAAAACAAGAGTAATAGTAAGAGAGGGGGGAATGTGGTTACACTACAACATAACCAAAATCATGTGTGTGGTTTTATGAAGTTAGACAGCCCAATAATGATGGAGTATTAAATGATTGTAGCGCCATGGTTTGATGGTTTGAGCGTGGGGGGGTGAAGGGAACATGGGGGTGTGTGGGCACATATGAAAAAGCCAGCCTTCTCCCATGAACTCCTCTGGCACCCAGAACTTGGATTTCGCAAACGCGTCCAACCTACTACAACCACCCCTTCCCTTCTATTGTCACTACTGGTGCCTAAAATAACTCATGTTCCTAAAGGAGGCACGTTTTCTGCTGGGTTTTCAAATACTACAGTGTTGTTCTGCTGGCACTAGGAAAACAGGAGAGGTTAGGGAGGTCACCCTCTGGGCTAACAGGAGCCACTGCCATGTTTAGATGCTGCAACAACCACGATATATAACCACTGGACCGTCTGTGGACACACAGCCTTAATGAGGTGGTCCAACCGTAGCATATAACATTATCCCATTGTGCATGTTTTTAGAGAACGCTGTTGCAAGTGGATTATAATAGAGCACGAAGAGGAATTAATAGCATTCTCATATTTTTTTTTAGATGCATAGCTAAAGTGACATTGCTTGGCATTTCCACAGCTAGACGATGCGCAAACTGTAGAATCACTTTTTCAGTCACTGAAAGCTGCAGTAATCAACACTGAGAGTTAGAAGTGTATCATAAACTATGTTTAATGGTAGAAGTGGATCCTCGGAAAGGAAAAAATAGGAGAGTAATTTGCCAGTTAATGTTTGGGTTTTAGGCCCATAGTGCTCGTGTTGTGATTCATTCCTACAATGCTTATCGAGTTACCAGCTTGAATTAGCTTTTTTAGGAAAAAAAAAGCTTTGACAAAGTAACATGTCCAGAGCTAAGTTAGTAACAGGCGGGTAAATAGAGTGATACATGTAATAGCTAGGTAGACAAATATTACCCTCTGAGTTTTTGAAACCAAAACAGAGCTAATATTGGCCTTTCATTCATTGGGTGGTCAGAAACAGGACCCAAAGTAAATGTTAGCATTCATCTGTCACTGCTAGATATGGAATATATGTTGTAAATGTGGTCTGCAAAGCAAGTGTCACAGTCACTGTGTGGCTAAAAATCGATTAATATAGCTTTAAATAAATAGTTTGACATTTTAGAACTTGTGTTTACTCTCTTTCTTCAACACCACTTTGTAGTGCTGTGAAAAAGCAATTGCCCGACTCCTGTTTTCTTCTTCTTCTTTGTCTGGCACACACAAATGTTTCAGATAATCAAACAAAGTTTAATATTAGACAAAAAATAATCAGAGTAAATACAAAATGTAGATTATAAAAGCTGATGTCATTTATTAGGGGAAAGAAGCTATCTAAACTCACCTAGCCCTGTGTGAGAAAGTAATTGCCCCATAAACCTAATAAGTGGTTGTATCACCCTTGGCAGCAAGAACTATAATCAAATATTTATGGTAACTGTAAATTTGTCATTCTTCTTTGCAAAATTGTTTTAATTTAGCAGCAAAACAACCCCAGACCATCACACTACCACCACCATGTTTGACTGTCTATCTTCCAGATCTTAAAGATGTTTTTTCACCTCAGGATTCTTCCATGGATGTCATTTTTGCCCAGTGTCTTTCTTACTGTTGAATCCTGAACACGAGGCCTACAGTTCTTTAGATGTTCTTTTGTGACCTCTTGGATGAATCTCGAAAAATAAAGTGTTTTGGACTCTTCTGGCAGATCTGAGAGTGCTAATAATCATCTAACCTGAAGAAAAATCATTACAAATTTGATGAGCTAGATGTACAAAAGAGAAGAAAAATTACACATACAAATTATACATCAAACTTCAGAGCAATTACAGCAATCTAACTTCACCATCAGGAAGGAGAATATTTTCAAAAGTCATGACAGAAACACGTATCAACTACTAGCTGAAACAGAATTGCTTCGTTTATGTCATTTGACAAACAGCTGTAAATTGCGACCTTTGTTGTATCAATGGTGATAGTGTAGAAAGCTTTTGTTTACTGTTCAAAACTCTGGATTGTTATAGGAGGTGCACATAATTAAAAGGCTGAACACTGATTCCCTTCATACAACTGTGGTAAGTGTCACAGTACCTGAATGGTGAGAGGAAATTTGAAATAAGTTTGTTCATGCAGGAAGGCCTATTATGGATATTTGTGGTCAGACTTATGAATCACTATGACACTGTGTTTTTGTATTAGTTATTCCACTGCTGCAATAGTGGAAATCCAGACTTGCTGTCATCTGTCTTCTGTGTCCAATTAATTTTCATAAAAATTCTATCTTTTTTAAACAAGCTTTTTAGATAAAACAAATCATTTTACTAAGCAAGTTCTTTTTGGAAAAGAAGGGGGAATGCCTGTTTTGGTCAAATCAGGAAGAATGTCTGTTCTGAATGTTTGAATGAGACAAAAATGTGTTCAATGTAAGTATTAAAAATAGAGAATAAACACTTAATGGTTTCTTGTTCACAAACATATGCATGAATTTAAAAGATGTTTAAGCTATTAAAGAACTCCAGATCTAAAAACACTGCTGTTGTCACTGCTGGGAATTACAAATCATTGGAAAGTGTAATCCATTTCTTGAATGTAATTCTTTTAGAAGGACAACAATGACATCTAGGCAACATTGAAGATTTAAAGTGATGATGTGGTTCAATTTTCTTTTTGGAACTACTTTTCAACCATGACTAGACTTCATTAAAACACCACCAGCCAGTGGTTGTTCAGTCGAAATGTTTGCTCGTTCCAATGCTCGTAAACTCAATTCTGTCATTTTCACTCTGGTCCAATAATTTCCTTACCCATCTTCTTCGAGCCATTCAAACTCTGCTCTCAGTGCTTTATACATCATTCTGTCATTCTGCCTTTTAGACTGTTTGGCTTTCCAATTATGCTGAAACTCTCCCAGATCAGCGTGTCACCAGCTATCTGTCAGTGGATCACCTCTGACACTCGGTCCCTCAGTATTGGTACCCCTCAAGGATGTGTCCTCTCACCACTATTGTTCTCTCTCTACACCAATGACTGCACCTCCAAGAACTCGGCTGTTAAACTCCTAAAGTCTGCAGATGACATAACCGTCATTGGCCTCATTCAGGATGGTGATGAGTCTGCATATCGGCAGGAAGTTGAGCGGCTGGTACTCTGGTGCAGTCAGCACAATCTGGAGCTGAACAC